CGATCCGTAGTAAGGGATACAACTGCCGAGAGAGGGACTGGTCCCAAGTCTCTCGATCGAAGGATTGAAAGGTGGTCAAGAGCTTCAGAGTCGCTTGAATGTGTGTGAGTGCGTTCTATTGTTTTGTCCTCCTTTTTCTTCCGTCCCCTTGATGGAAGAAGCGCATCCCCTTTATAGATGAAGGGCCGGCTTTACAAGGGTAAGGGCTCCGACGGCGCGTACTCTACTTAGTCTTGTGGCTCACGCTCACCTGGTCGTGTCCTCCACTCACGATGAGTGCGAAGGAAGATAAGTGTTTACAATGTTGTCGATGTCTCTCGTAGGATGTCGTTTAGTCACGTAATGCTTGCCCTCACGCAGGTATGGGCTGCAGATCTGCTGGTTTTGACTTATGAGCCTCCCCACCCTTTGCTCCGCACGCCTTCTCGGTTTCTCATGAGTCCTCGCTGGGAGAATGCGGGTCGGGTCCGTGTAACGCCGTGGTCAAGGCCTTCGACCGGGAGGACCGAGGGGTCGGGCGGCGCCGCCGCCCTCGGGTCCACCGTGGTGGTGACGGAATACCCATCGCTCGTGGAGATAGCAAATCCTTTCCCGGAGCGTAGCGGTTGTCGATATCTTCGTCTGGTTCCGTGTCCCGTGAGTCAAGGCGGCGCCTACAACTCTGAGGGTGAGGTGCACGCACCTGTAATACCTTTTGGGCTCAAGCGCGCCGGAAGGGTCTAAAGCTTCATCCCTGCTGCTTCCTCGGCAGTCCTTTTCTGCCAGTATGCAGGGTATGGTCGTTGGAGCAATGGTTGACCCGAACGCCTTGTCTCGTCCCTGTACCCATCATTATGAGGATAGATATCGATCGAGGCGAGGCTCGCTCGGGCCGTCGGGAGGTGACCCGCCCCTCGGGGTCGGGCGAGACGGAATTCATCCTCACCCCTCGGGCGAGACCGAGCCCGCCTCAAGGCGTCGGGCGAGGCGGAGTTTATCCTCGGCCTCGGGCGAGACCGAGCCCTACTATAGGCGTCAGGCGAGACGGAGATTAGCCTTGAGCTTTGGGGCGAGGCGGGGTTATCCTACAAAGGCGTCGGGTAGGCTGACCCGCCCCTCGGGGTCAAGGCGAGACGGAATTCATCCTCACCCTCGGGCGAGACCGAGCCCGCCCTCAAGGCGTCAGGGCGGCGAAACCGAACTCCTGTCACTCGAACAAGGGATGACATGGAGCCCTTATGCATCTAGAAGTTTTTCACGTTCGGTGGTCATCGGTTCCACCTTCCAGGGTACCACTGTATTAGGTCCCCGACAGAGAGGAAGAAGGAGGGCGGCAAATACTGCAGGGGAGGGGAGGAGCCACTGGAGGGAGGGAGGAGAGGGCTAGAGGGAGGAAGGGAGAAGAGGGTCGGAGGGAGGGAGGAGAGCGCTGGAGGGAGTGATGGAGGAGAGGGCGCCATCGGGAGGAGAGGTGGCGGGAGTGAGGGAGGAGAGGGCGCCGTCGGGAGGAGAGGTGGCGCTGGGGGAAGGGAGGAGAGAGAAGGGGTGGGGACGGGGCGTGGGGGTTGCTGGCGACGCGGTTAAGTATGAATTTTTTTTGTTTGCCGAGTGTTCCAGATGGCGCCCACGGCAAAGTTTTTTTTCCATTTTTTTCTTCTCCTTTTTTTTGCCGAGTGTTCTAGATCTGAGCACTCGGCAAAAAAATTATTTTTTTTCTTCGTTTTCTTTTCTAGAAAAAAGATTTTATTTCTTTGCCAAGTGTTTTTTTTAACACTCGCCAAACCACCTCTTTGCCGAGTGTTTTTTTTGACATTCGGCAAAACGCCCTATTTGCCGAGTGTTTTTTTTTTTGCCGAGTGTTTTTGTCGCGGCACTCGGCAAAAACTTACTCGCCGAATACCCGAGGGAATACACTCGGCAAACATAAAAACACTCGACAAATTTAAGGATTCCGGTAGTGGGTGTTCGATGTCGACGAGACCTCGCTCTCCACCCTCCCCTACTATGCCAAAGAGGGCTTCGGGTACGTACACACCCGACATGATTCAACCAATGGACATAATCTATATTTATATCTATATCTACATCTATATCTAAATATATATCTACATCTACATCTATATCTATACCTACTAATAAAGAGGGAAAATTTTGTTTACATTTTTTTCTGCTCCATGTTGGATTTAAGAAAGAGTTCATAAATTAACCGGATACGGCTCACCTGCTTTCCGTTCAGGGAAAGTCCGCAGTAGATAAATGTATTCCGTTCCATTCGGTTGCCCCTGCAGTATCGCACCGGAGAAATTTCTCTACCCCGGTGGCCATCACATCACAGGGAAAAATAGAAAAATACATGCGACAAATTTTCCCTGCCCCGGTGGCAATCACATGACAGGGAAAAAAGAGAAAACTACTAGCACTGTAGAGTTCGAACCAGAGCATACGTAAACGACCGGATGGTTTCATGGTATTACTAGAGTAAGGGCCTATTTGATCTCTTCTTTAAGCTTTAGAGCTTAGGTCTCCAAAGATTTAAAGTTAGCTCTAAACTTTAGCTCATTACATATTGGAGCTTTAAACCGGCCTCGAACGTGAGTTAATCTATACCTAATAATGCTAATCTATATCTATATCTAATAATAAAGAGACAAAATTTCTACCATATTTTTTTCTGTCTCTCCTCCACGTGTTTTTTTTCTATCTATCTATTATGTTTCCGTGTCCATGTTGGATTTAAAAGAGAGTCCATCAATTAATTAGATACAGCTCACCTGCTTTTCCGTACAGAAAAAGTCCCATTCAGTAGTCCCCGCAGTTTCACTTCGCACCGGAGAAAAATTTCTACCCCGGTGACCATCGCATCACGGGAAAAAAGAGAAAAACACCAGCAATATATGTAGAGTTCGAACCACAACGTACGCAAACGACAGGTTGGTTTACATATATACCACCGTGGTATTAGTAGACTAAAGGCGTGTTTGATCTCCTACTCTAAACTTTAAAGCTCTAAACTTTAGAGCTAAAGTCTCTAAATAGATGGTCTAAAGTTAGCTCTAAACTTTAGCTCTACCTCACATTAGAGCTTTAAACCTTAAAAGTGAGCTTAAAGTGCTCCAAAGTTTTTAGAGCTCTTAAGATTAGAAAAAGAGATCCAAACAGGCCCTAAAGCTCATTAAATTAAGTAATAAATAGTAGAAATAAAAACCCCAATCAATATATGAAAATATTGTTGCATATTGTGGAGAATAATAATCTTGCCAAAATCAGGATAAGGCACATTCAATGTTGGAGGGAGAACGCTTTTAGAGTACGAGGCCCGTTTATGCAGACTACGTATGCACAGAGATAATAATCTTTATATATATGTAAATATATCTATATACATTCTTTACCTATAATATATTTTCCATTTCTAAAAAATACATTCTCTACCTATAATATAAAATATGGAGGCTTTTCATGTTATAGCAACCCACCATATATGCACAGGTCGAATTAGAATAGAGGACACAACTATGATCTCCTTTCTGAAAAAAAATATAGAAACGGAAATGAGATAAGGGTTTTCGCGCCTGTTTTTGGCCGTTTTCATCCCTACCTTCAATAGACACGCTGTATTTGCTTATGTTGAGGTAAAGAGAATACCACAGGTAGTATTATACAGTAGCAACATATGTATGGTATGAAAAATAAAGCCATGATATATTTACGTATAGATATTTTTGATATTTGCAATTGAAAAATAGATATCAAGGTTGTATTTTAATTTGATACATGCTTAATAGGATATTGATATATTATTGTAATAATTAACTTATATTATACTAGATGTCATGGTTACCATAAAATAAATTATACCTTTTAAATATTATAGAAAGGGTAAACCGTAAATAATATATATCTTTCATGCCGTTGTTTTTTACGAACGTTTTATAGTTTTTTCTCCTGTTGCGATGCACAGGCGCATTTTGCTAGTAAAACTATAACACGCTACGTACGTGCTGCGTGGTCATGACGTATGTGTACACGTACTATTGCTGGCACACGAGTACGCTCCAGCGAAGTTTGCATCCACATATCCACGGGAACTTGAATGAAGTCGTCAGAATTAAGGCCAAAGCTAACCGGTGTATCGATGCTTAATTTTTTCATTTTTTTTTTCTATATTCCAGGAGCCTGATTATATTTTGTCGTTGTCTTAGGATAATGCAATTTTTTATCTATAGACAAATTGTTTATTTATATTATGTTGGTGTTTAATTAAGATCATTATTGAAAATCCAGACATCTAAAATAGAACTCCCAAATATATATAAAAAATGTATTAACATTAATGATACGTAATAAGTATTATTAGATTAATTTTGGAATATATTTTCACAATAAACCTAGTTGAAGATCTAAATATAGATAATCTTGTATATAAACAAAAAACATTGAACGTCTCTCCTTTCTCCACTGTACAGTACGTCTGAGGCAGGGAAGGACAAGTGGTGTTGAACATTTGGACGGCAGTCCATGTGATCATTGATAATTTGCATTAGCTCAGCTGACGAGTGGTTAATTGGTCCACTCGACCAATAATGCTGGGCTACAAAAATTTATATATTAATTAGCCGTCACCCACTGCTGATGCATGGCTGTATGATTGTATGGAACATGCATTTTGATGTCAGGGCGCATCCATTTCTAGATGGGGAAGTATGAGAGCATCTCTAACAGTCTTTCGATCCTGCCTCTCATCTCCATAAAACTATTATATTAGAGAAGATAATTTACTTTTTCTTCTCCAACAGTCCCCAATATGGCCTCTTTTTTTTTGTGACCGCCAAAAAACCCCCCTTCACCCCTCAAATAGAGGGTTGCATCTCCCCCAATAAGCTAGGCCCACCTCAAGTGTCACTCTCCTCCCTCCTCCCTCTCACCTCTCTCTGCCATGGAGTCAAGCACACCCGTCGGGCACCGCTACCACTGCTGCCAATGGATGGTCCACTCGCCGTTGCGCCTTGGTCTGCCAATAGCCATGGCGGCCACTTCCCTTAGCTAGGTCCGCGCGCCGCTGCCGGCGCAGGCCATGGCCGCCGCAGCCACCTGCCAAATCCACCAGCCACGAGGACAAGGCCCCCGCCGGCGTGCTCGGAGCTGTTGGAGGGGCACTTTTGCCCGAGCTTCTGCCATGGTTGGTGTGCTCGCGTCCGTGGCTGGCCGGCGTGCTCACGACCATGGCTAGCCGGCGTGCTCACGACTGTGCCATGGCCAGGCGGAGGGGCGCCATGGCTGGCTGCGCCTCCGACGCGACGTGATGCGCGGACAAGATGAATCAACTGAAGAGGAAAAAAGGGGGAAATAAATAAACAAATTATAATTGAAAGGTGAGTCCCACATTTTGGGGGGGGGGAGTTTAGATGATATATGATGTAGCACCTCCCCAATAATCTAAAAAAAAGTTATTGGGCTACCCAATACTATTTTATTAGGGGAGTTATATTGGGGAGCTACTGTAGATGCTCTTTGTGTAGTAGTTATTAGTGAATATATGAGCAGTATATTGACCAGTAATATATTTGTTGATCAAGGATCTAAACTATACGTTTAACAACCTGCAGCCTTGCTAATGAGCATGTTTCTTTTATTGATCACAGTACTAAGCCGTACAACGCGACGAGCTTCAACGAGTACGTGCTGGAGGGGAGCGCGCCGGTGTTGCCGGAGACGCTGCGGCTCTTCAAGAAGCTCATCTCGCTCGGCATCAAGCCGGTGCTCCTGACGGGCCGCAGCGAGGACCAGAGGGCCATCACCGTGGCCAACCACCGCCGCCAGGGTTACTCCGGCTGGGAGAAGCTGCTGCTCAAGCCCATCGGCTTCAAGGCCACCGCCATCGCCTTCAAGTCCGGCGAGCGGCAGAAGCTCCAGGACGCCGGCTACGTCATCGTCGGGAACATGGGCGACCAGTGGAGCGACATCCTCGGCGCGCCAGAGGGCGCGCGCACCTTCAAGCTGCCCGACCCCATCTACTACATTGGCTAAGCTAGGAGGACACGCAACGCAACTTCGAGCTGCGTGATCATCCAATGGCCGATTTCCGTCCTGTTGCAGTGCTTGTTTGAGATGAACTGCTTTTAGATTACTGTTATATCTGCCCTCCGTGCTTGATTAATAATAACGAACTCCATGTTATCGTTTACTATTTGCCGTTGGTTTTCTGCTTGAACATAATTGCATTGCAATAAAAATCGTTGAACTATTGAAGAGGTTAACAATAAGCTGATAACATTGTAATGGAGAGGCCGGAATTTTTCATTTTCTAAAAAAATGAAGATATCCGCAATAATGTTCAAAAAGAAAAGATAGATACGCTTGGTTCTGTGTTTTGGTACTGCCTATGTTTATAAATGCAGGTTGTTCTAATTTGGTTTTGTCCTAACCATAAAATTCTCTTTAACTTTGACCAATTAAGACATAATTTAAGGAATAAATTAATCCAGCGTTTTAGATATTAATATATTTTCCATGTAAAGTTAAAGTTACCCAATTTTAATTTGATTTAGGACAAAGCTTAATGTGGGGTGACACCTGGCCTCCCACCCTCGCTAGAAACTAGGCGGGGGGAGGACGAGGGTTTCCCACAGGCTTTGTGTGATGCAGGTCTTGAGTTCGGTGAAAGCGATGTGGGAAACGGAATAAATTTGGAGTAAATGCCCATTAATTCGTAAAAGCATCTGGTTCGTAACAGTGACGCCCCTGGGTATTTATACTCAATACCCGGAGATGATGCAAAATTACATTAGGGCTGAGCCCCAAGAATAAATCATTTGATCGTTCCTGAGGGCATGACCGTAACTCTCCACGTCCTGGCCAACCACTCCTGATGACGTCGCTGCTGACGCTTCTTGGGCCTAGATTCCAGGTCCCCTCACGCTGGCCCATCACGAGGGCGTGGGGGGAGCCCTCCTCCCTGACCTGTGGATGCGTGTCTTCCTCCGGTGGGGAAGATGCAACAAAAGAATGTCAAAAGTGAATCCTATTCCCGCACCTTCGCTCCGCACACAGCAGCACGCGAGGGTGTCACGGGCGAGGGTCCCAGCGAAACTTGTTCCGTCCATGTTGGGGCAAGGTGAGGCCGGGGTCTTCCCCCGGCCCCCAACACTTAAACAACCAATATTTTTAATAGAAGGGGTAAAAATGAACCCATTCATTGAGATGAACTGTGGCTACACTTTGGTCTAAAGAGGGTTGGCAGATTTATTTCAGAACAACGTTAGTTGATAGTGAAAGGAATCCATGGCAGCAATTGATGGAATAATTGGGAAGGCATGATCTTCGAACCCAAACACTGACTACTGAGGATGAAATAGGACGACGACTTGAGAATTCACACCGCCTTTCAAGAAGATCGCAGTACAGGGCAATTGTAGGAGTGGGCGACAAACGAAGGAGTTTAAATTGTTTAGAATTGTAGGATTTCTATAAAAAAAAATCAAAGGGCAGCTGGCTGCAGCTGCAGGAGCAACCCCGTCAACATTGTAGCAGCTCCAGCAGATACAGCTAGAGGAAAGAAGTTGCACAGAGCAGGACATGCTGCAGGCATGCAGCCAAACAGCCTAGTTGCACAGAGCAGGACATGCTGCAGGCATGCAGAGGCTGTTTGGCTGCAGCCCAAACGGCTGCTTAAATTAGAACCGAACAGGCTTAAAGTCTTTTTATGGAAACTCCTTAACAATAAACTACAAGCTTCGATAGTACTAAAGAAGTGCTAGAAAGGAGATGTGAATTGTTGTTTATGTGACAAGCCTGAAAACGTCGATCACATTTTCTTGACATGTCCTCTAACGAGTAACGAGACTTGCATGGTGCATCCTGAGAAAGAGGCCATCCTCTCCTCTTGTGTCGAGGTCTAAGTTTATGGGAAGGTGGATCCATAGCAAAGCTTCATCTCCCTCAAACAACGTCGTTTTTTTCCTTTTCGCGGGTCTTGCCTGGCCATCTGGAACGGACACAACCCTTCTAAGTTTATGGCGATCGATCGAGAAGATTTCACCAAACAACCCTTCTTTTTACGAAAGGACCCAAACAATCCTTCTAACGTGATGTTTTCGACTCTTACCATTTTTGTAGAAGTGGCCTCTCTCATACTTAAGCCAAAGTTGAAAGAAAGCGTGGATGAGATCAAGGAGATCGTCTTCGACTAGATGAAAGGCCTCAAACCAGCTACCTGCCCTATTTCAGATACTGGTGGAATGTAATTGTAACAGGGACAGTGTGTATGATTAAGACCTGTAATGTTTTCATGTAACACGCCGCTTATGATTAAGACCACTGTACCTTGTTGAGATAATAACTTCACCGCTTTCTTAAAAGCAGAGGAAACTCCTTAGCAAACAGTGAACGTCAAAAGGCGCATGATTACTGTGCTATCTACAGGTGTCTGCTAGTACACACCAAATCAGTCATGATCAGTGCAATGCATGCAACACGCCGGCAGGCCTCGCATTATTGGGCTGGCCCACGCAGGTTTGCCAGTACTCGCGGATCGGATGCGCCCGCCGCGCGCGTCCTGTCGCTCCATCGAGGCACGGTGGCCGTGGCCCCACGACCCACCATCTGCAGCTAGATTAGATGCGCCCGGCCGGCCACGAGGAGCTCACTAGGCCACGCACGAGAGGCCACAAGCTAGTCGAGCACATTTTTCAAATCAAATTCCTATGAATTTCCTATATGTGTCATACAGGAAAATATTATGGTCTAGAGGATTTTAAAGTTTCCTAGTTCTTCTACTAACGATCGGAATGGCCAGATTTCATATAGCTCCCATTGGTACAGATGCGTCCGGTGCTGAGTCAGATATTTGAGTTTGAGTCCTAAAATGTGAAACCTCGAGACTCCACATGGCACAAGCTCATCAACCAAATAAGGATGTATCCACGTGGCACTAGCTTCACATTATTGAGCTTTGTTATGGTGTTGAAAGGTACTATCAGTGCTTTTAGCTGCCTTTTATTTTATTTTTCACTTAGTATTTCCTATTTCTTCATTGTCCGATTTTTATTGATGGACGGTCCATATTTTTTTTTATAACCATACCTCCAAAAGTTCTCTATAGCTAGGAAGCTCCGCCAAACTAGACATATATCACACAAACACTCGGAGACCAAGCTAAACTTTGTTGAGATGATTTTTTTAAAGAGAAATAGTTGACGGTGACAGTTATTCCCTCGGTCCTAGATAAACGCACATCTAGCTTCTCGAGGAATCAAACTTTCTGAAGTTTGACTAAAAATATAAAAAATACTATTAAAATTTATATCTCTAAATAAGTTTATATGAACATATACTTCTGCTCAATCTAATGACAATTATTATACATTATAAATATGAGTACATATTTAACCAAACTTTACAAATATTTGACTCATTGTAAGTGAGATGTACGTTTATTTTGAGACCTAGGAAGTACTAACTAGTGTGTGTATGTTGAACCAGCAACATTCTTTTTCTTTATTTTTCTTGAACATATTGAGTTCCACTCATAACAATTCAATTCCTCCCAAACTATGTAAATTGGTGTATATTAGAATGTAGCCAAACAAGTTCTAATTTGGATTCAAAATATATTTCATATTTCTTTCCACGCGTTCGTGTATAATAATGTTTCTTTGTGCGGGAATATAATCTATGCTAATCTTTTTGGCTCTTTTCACTGATGTTTCTAGAGTCTACTTCCAGATCGATCAGACACTAGCAATAATGAGCGCATCGGGACATCTGATATACTACCCTACAATGCAACTTTGTGAGACACATTTTATCAGAACATAGAATTTCGAAGAAACTCCCTCTGCTGCTTATAGCACACACTGTAGCAGCGCAGTGCAGATGCTAAGGAAAAAGGTGTTGGCGGGCGCAGAATAGTACAGGACCTGATTCCACAGGATTGGACGAGGTATCAAAGACGAGACAGGAGGAATGCATTCATGCTGCCATTGATCCAAGATTATATTACATAAGGCAAAAGAAGATAAATAATTGTGCTTATCTTTTATATCTATATCTATAGATAATAAAGAGGCAAAATTTTTCTCCACCTATTTTTTCGTTTACCTCTTCCTAACTACGCGGACGGTGGAGAGTCAGAACAACTCGCGTCTAACGATGTTAAATACAGAGTCCGATTTCAATACTATTGTGTCGCAGCCTACATATCTTGTATGTGTCCTAGACTATTGGAGTTCCGTTGCAACGCACGAAAACGCTCGCTAATACAAATGAATGCAGCCAAGTTGGATAGCCTAGATAAACACAAGGTAGCATATACGTACCGCGTCAACCCATATACGTGCGTGTCATGAGTACCGTCACATGACAGAGAAGTTTTAGGAAAAATACTACAACGATTTTAAAGGCCCAAGTTGCTATTATTAGTTTGAGGCAAGTTAACAAACGTTTGGTGAAGGATGCTCTGGATGGTAATCAGTGCTAGGGATGGTTGGTAACATTGATGGTCCTTGAAAATGGAGATACTAATTCTAAAGAGGGTTGGTGTATACAAATCGTCTTACAGTAGATGCTATTAGCATGGTGGCCTGTCTCTAAACACAGTCGTTGTACAAAAATAAATTTATAACCTTTTTTCAAATGAAATCAGATAAAGACATTAATACAGAAACGGGCTGTACTCCTGGTTGGAAAACTCCCTTTAGTCCCGGTTTTCCAACCAGGAGCACGAATGCAGGACTAAAGGATCCTCCTTTAGTCCCGGTTTCTCACCTTTAGTCCCGGTTGGTAATGCCAACTGGGGCTAAAGAGGCCTCCCCACGCTCTTTAGCCCCGGTTGGTATTATCATCCGGGACTAAAGGTTTTTTTTTCTATTTTCAATTGATGATTCGTTTTGGTTTTCAAATAGGTTTTCGAATACACATTCTACGTTGCTAATACTATACGTATTCTACACGTTTATAATGTTCGAACATTTTGTACAAACTAAAGTATAAAACTAATGTATATATTACATGCATATACATATATTGTA